TAATTCGTAATGAATTGAAGGCAGAAGAAGTGCATTTTACCTTAATACACACATCTGTAATAGTATCCGAAATCGGAGGTCATCAGTTGCAAGTTTTTTGATAATAGAAATTAAAAATTATTGAGGAATTTTTCTTCAAATGTTTGGCGTGTTCTGTTCCTGAAAGATTTACTAATATTCTGGAGATTTTTTTCAAGTTCTTCGGCCTTTTCCTAACGGAAATTTTGTTTCTTATTCGCTGCTAAAAAATGGCGTCTGATTCGGTCAATGACTTTGATGGAACTAAATGAAAACGTGATAAATTAATGTCTGATATTTACAGGCTCCCGCTAGACGGCGTACTCGAGCGTTGCGATCGCGAATAGCGGTACGGGAGAACAACTTTAAATCAGGGATACAAAAATATTTATAGAAAAACAATACATTTGACTTTTATGCTGATGACAACCATAACAATATGGAAATGAATGAGGAAAAACTGGATCCTACCACGCGATTTTCGGGCAAATAAAAAGCACAGACAACAATGGAAAACTGCAACACCATCATTAAATTTTTATATATCGTAAGATTTTGTAAAACTGCTCTTTCCGTGATAGAGCAAGTTTTAATCTATAAAAATGGTTTTCATTAATAAAGTTTGTATCTTCGATAGCGTATTTCAATCACATAGTGATAGAAAGAATAAATATTACGTAGAATAAATATTAGAAATAGTAAAAAAAAAAAATTTATTTATTTTTTTCTGGGTTCTTTATGATTCATCATTGGTATCTTCATTCATTTAATCTTTATTCCTAGTGAACTTTTGAAGAATTTTTTTCACCTACTACATTCATAATCGGTAACTTTTTGACATGTGTCAGTTTTAGGATAAAATTGTAACGACAAAGACTGTCAAAACTTAAATAGCATTTATGTATTGCTATAAATCAGGATTGGCATATTGTCCGAAAGAAATCTATTTCTTCCGGGATTTTCTTCCTTTAAGTTTATATAATACAGTTTTACATAATATAAAATCCATGCATCATATTTAGATTTAAGTTTTTGTATTTGATTCTAAATATTATGATGCTGTTTATAATTGTGTGATTTCTATTAGTGTATATGTTGAGCATGTGATTTGTTAACTTAGAAGCATTAAAAAAATTTATTATTATATTTTTACTTTTCGTTACATAACTAAAAAATAACTTTAAGTGTACTTTATTATGTAAAATGTAAAAAATAGTACAATTATTTTAATTTTAAAAGAAATTAGTTACATTTTCTTTTCGTTGCAATTGTACTTTATTTAAAAATGAAAAACTAAATAGCCTTGAAATTTATATTTTTATTTAAACTAGATTTCAATTATAAAATGTTTAAAATATTGTTTTAATATTTGATATTTCTTTTTGAAAAAGAGTTTCTTTCACTGGGATATCAAAAATATATTTCTTTCGATGTGGATTTTTTTCATGGTTTTTTTCAACTGTGGGAGACACTTAACATGCCTGGAGACCAAACTGAAAACTTGTTTTTCTAATGATTTGAAATAGTTAATTTTCATTTAAAAACCAAGAAGCAATCTTGAGTATGTTGGTATTTAAGTATTAAAAGCAGAACACACTGAATAATTTTTGATCTAATGATCGGATTATCACGTATTAGGACTCAATGTTAATTATTCGAGGGACTCACCTTTATGCTAATTAATTAGTTCAAAAGATATTTTAAGTTACGAAATCAGAGACAAAAGGTATACTTATTCTTAATAAACATGTCTTTTTTTCGTCGAATTCGGATTTCTGATCCAAGATTATAATCAATTTTTTTATTGTTTAAGAAATGTAATTTTACAAATAAGTAATTTACTATGCTAAGCAAAATCTACGAGTAATACAGAAGTTATGAATTGGAAATTGTTTTTTTTTTCCAAAATATATAGTGAAATAAATAACTTAAGGTAATTTTTACATCGAAATAAGCTATTTAAGATTAACAAAAAGCAATCAAATTATTAAAAATATTTCAAAATTTTTATATATAAAGGTACTAAGGTACTGCGTGCTGGGAAAAAAAATGTCCTCTAATATGCTGATTAATAAATGGAGAAAATATTTTAAGTTACAAAATCAGACGCAAAAACGAACTTTATCTGAATAAACACACTTTTTTTTATGGATTTGTATTCCTATAACCTAAAATAAAAGGGAAATCTGGAAAATATCATGACTAGTTTGGTCAGGAAAGATGTCGAAGGATTGAACCCCATGATCTTAATTTACTTTTCATATATTTCGCAGCACCTCAATAACTTTTTTAGTGAATCGAAAACAAACAATTGTAAACAACTATAAAACTTCTTTATCTAAAAGTAATGTCCTTCAAAAATATTTCTTTAATTATTTTTTCTTTATCTATATATATATTTCTCTTACACGGCACCAGAAAAAAGCCACATTACAACTCCCCGAATGGCAACGTTAGAAAATTGACCAATGATTGCTGCTAAAAATGTCACATGCCAAACAAGGCTCAACATATAGCGCTTTTAAAAACGGAAACAATAACCAGAGTGAGCATTAATTCAGCTGCGGCAATCTCATACTATTAAGCTAGGCAGAAGTGAGTAGTAGATCTCTATTTTAGTATTTTGTCGAAAGCGCTTTTCTGAAGTACTTTGTACAACTAAATAAGATTCTTTTCACAACACTTAAATATTTATTTTATTTTCTTCATTTATAGAGAAAAAAGTCGGCAAAAAATTCTGTTAGGTTAAAAAACATTTCGCTAAAAAGGGAACGAATTCTAAAAGAAATAAAAATAAACAACTTAAAAAATAAAAATGCTGTTGCCAACCATAGAATTTTTTGAAAGTTAACTTAGCAACATAAATCAAAATGACATAGAAGCGCAACTAGATCAAAATTATGATACCTGAGCGCTTGACGTAACAAATCCTTCAATTCTATAA